CAAATAGTACTTTAAGAAAGCCACGACTCACNGGGGGGACGATGTCCAAGCACGGGAGTAGGTAGCCGGTTAATGAGATAAACTACAGTAGAGAAAGCCCCAAGCCATAAAGAGCGAGACAAAGAAGCCTGATATAACAAGGCAAGACCCATTTCTTCAATATGCCGGTGTTTGCGCATTGCCCGGCCATTCTGTTCAGGTGTGTGAGGACATGAAACACGAAGAGAAATACCATGGTCATGTAAAAATGAGCGAAAAGGCCCCTAAACAAGTTCTTTAGCTCCATCACATTGAAACCATTTAATCTTGTGCCCAAATTGAGTTTCCCGTGTATTTTTAAAAATTTGGAAGCATGCAAGACTGTCGGATCTACGTCTCATGGGATAAATCCAAGCAAAACGACTAAAATCATTAACAGATAATATGTAATAACGAAATACAGTAACTGAAGCAATAGGCGAAGGCCCCCAAATATCACAATGTACCAATTCAAAAGGAGTAGAACAATGTCTAGTAGATAAACTAAATGGCAAACGTTTACTTTTGCCAACTTGACAAGCATCACATACATAATGAGTCAAAGATGAATCAAGAAAAGGAATCAACTTAGTAGATTTGAGCTGAGAAGTGAGCTTGTGAGCTGGATGACCAAGTCGCCTATGCCAAATTATTCTTGAAGCTGGAGAAGAAGAATAGCCACCAAATTGAACTGCCACATGCTTTTTATTTGTACCAACTGTTTCTTTGTTGAGTCTATTCCTACTAGTCAACTCAAGTACCCCCTGTGCTGGAATAGAATATAAATTATCTTTAACTGGACCCTCCGAGAGTGTCTTCCCCATGCGAATATCCTTAACAACAAAGCCCCACGGAAAACAAAGAAACACACAATGATTATCTTTAGTGAGTTTGGCAATAGACTGGAGATTTTCCTTTAATTCCGAAACATATAAAATATCATTTAAATCTAAAAACTGTATGCCCGTGCATAGAGATGATTTACCAACATGAGAAATGTGCAAAGAATTACCATTGCCAACATAGACTCCATCATTGCCAGTGTAAGGTGAAGATTGACGGAGAAGAGCCGGATTAGATGTCATATGGTTGGTTGCACCAAAATTGGCAAGCCAGTGAGGCTCAATGTGATCAACAGCTGAGTCAGACGAAGCATGTGATGATAAATGCAGTCCAGCAAAACTCTGTGCAAGTGTGGAGCGATCATCAGAAGTACAATTATCCTGAGCATAACGAAAACGACAGCGATCTGTGGTATGACCAGCTTTTTTACAAATTTGACAGTGAGGTTGGTTATGGCGTGAAGAAGCTTGATTACGGGAAAAATTATTTTCATAGCCATAACGAGGGAAAGAGGATTGGTTGTCACGACGATGATCATGACGGGAGTCACGGAGTGGACCTTGGCGATTATCACGCCTTTGATCAGTGCTCTGGCGATTATCATTGTTGGATTGACGGGTTGTTAGGGCAGATTCAGATAATTGTGCACCAGCAGGGGCAATGGGCGTNTAATGCTGGGAGTGGGGAGAATGCCAGAAGACCCAGAGGTAGGATGATCTACAAACGGAAACTCATTCTCATCAAACACAACATAACGAGAAACAAATACTTGACCTGTGTTAGGATCTAGACTGCGATAACCCTTGTGGATTGAACTGTAACCAATAAAAACACACCACCAAGACTTAGGGGAAAGTTTGTCCTTGCGATAAGCCCCCAAAAAGGGATAACAAGCACAGTCAAATACTCGCAAATGATCATAGTGCGGTAAGGAACCAAATAATAGCTCATGGGGGGCACGATGTCCAAGCACGGGAGTAGGTAGCCGGTTAATGAGATAAACTACAGTAGAGAAAGCCCCAAGCCATAAAGAGCGAGACAAAGAAGCCTGATATAACAAGGCAAGACCCATTTCTTCAATATGCCGGTGTTTGCGCATTGCCCGGCCATTCTGTTCAGGTGTGTGAGGACATGAAACACGAAGAGAAATACCATGGTCATGTAAAAATGAGCGAAAAGGCCCCTAAACAAGTTCTTTAGCTCCATCACATTGAAACCATTTAATCTTGTGCCCAAATTGAGTTTCCCGTGTATTTTTAAAAATTTGGAAGCATGCAAGACTGTCGGATCTACGTCTCATGGGATAAATCCAAGCAAAACGACTAAAATCATTAACAGATAATATGTAATAACGAAATACAGTAACTGAAGCAATAGGCGAAGGCCCCCAAATATCACAATGTACCAATTCAAAAGGAGTAGAACAATGTCTAGTAGATAAACTAAATGGCAAACGTTTACTTTTGCCAACTTGACAAGCATCACATACATAATGAGTCAAAGATGAATCAAGAAAAGGAATCAACTTAGTAGATTTGAGCTGAGAAGTGAGCTTGTGAGCTGGATGACCAAGTCGCCTATGCCAAATTATTCTTGAAGCTGGAGAAGAAGAATAGCCACCAAATTGAACTGCCACATGCTTTTTATTTGTACCAACTGTTTCTTTGTTGAGTCTATTCCTACTAGTCAACTCAAGTACCCCCTGTGCTGGAATAGAATATAAATTATCTTTAACTGGACCCTCCGAGAGTGTCTTCCCCGTGCGAATATCCTTAACAACAAAGCCCCACGGAAAACAAAGAAACACACAATGATTATCTTTAGTGAGTTTGGCAATAGACTGGAGATTTTCCTTTAATTCCGAAACATATAAAATATCATTTAAATCTAAAAACTGTATGCCCGTGCATAGAGATGATTTACCAACATGAGAAATGTGCAAAGAATTACCATTGCCAACATAGACTCCATCATTGCCAGTGTAAGGTGAAGATTGACGGAGAAGAGCCGGATTAGATGTCATATGGTTGGTTGCACCAAAATTGGCAAGCCAGTGAGGCTCAATGTGATCAACAGCTGAGTCAGACGAAGCATGTGATGATAAATGCAGTCCAGCAAAACTCTGTGCAAGTGTGGAGCGATCATCAGAAGTACAATTATCCCGAGCATAACGAAAATGACAGCGATCTGTGGTATGACCAGCTTTTTTACAAATTTGACAGTGAGGTTGGTTATGGCGTGAAGAAGCTTGATTATGGGAAAAATTATTTTCATAGCCATAACGAGGGAAAGAGGATTGGTTGTCACGGCGATGATCATGACGGGAGTCACGGAGTGGACCTTGGTGATTATCACGTCTTTGATCAGTGCTCTGGCGATTATCATCGTTGGATTGACGGGTTGTTAGGGCAGATTCAGATAATTGTGCACCAGCAGGGGCAATGGGCATGGATGACTGAGAATGGAAGCACTTCAAACGTTGCTCATGAACTAATAGTCGTGCCCGAAGATCATCAAAGTGAATGGGATGTTCATGATTTTCTATTGCAAACACCGAGGGTTGATATTTTATAGTATTTGGAAGTCCATTCAAAGTGCGAGTGATTAACTCAGAATCAGACACAGGTTGATTTATGGCAGCCAAATTATCTACAAGAGATTTGATTCTAGTCAAGTACTCTTCAATGGGTAACGTACCTTTACTGAGGCCTTGTAATTCATCACGAAGAAGATCAAGTTTGGCTTTAGATTGTTGATGGAAAATAGTTTCTAAGATGTCCCAAACTTGGCGGGACGTTGATAAACCCTGGACTTGCGCACTGGCGCTAGGTGATAGTGTACCCTTGAGGCATGAGAGAAGAAATTGATCTGTTTTCAGCCACTCAACGTATATGTGGGATTTGGGATTGGGGTTTGTTTTTCCTTGTCAGTCAAAGTTTTGGGCGGTGGAGAGTTTGATGCATCAACATAGCCCATGAGATCATTGCAAAGAAGGATGGGGGTAAAATGATCACGCCATAAAAGATAATTTTCAGAATCTAGTTTAATAGAGACATGGTTAGAGATATTGGTGATAGGAAAAGGGAATAAAGAAGGAATAGCTGGGCTGGTTGTGGAAGAAGACATGATTTGTAGAAGGATGAAGAAGAGACAAAGAGAAAAGGAGAGAAAGGAGGCGGCGTTGCAACAGAAAGAAAAAGCACAAAAAGGAGAGAGCTCACACCTCAAGAAGAGCTTTAATGCTCTGATACCATGACAGGATTTGAGAATAGCCTGCTACCCTAGTAGGGCTGGCTGTGTATTTATATTCAAGTAAGGTAATATGATGAAAAGACAATAGTGCCCTCAAGGCTTTACATGATATCCCGTGTATACATATCCTATTTTAATCTTACTGTGGGTGTGCAGGTTCCACTAATAAATTTTATTTGACAGAGGGAGATTTCTTTTTAATGATAAGAATTGTTCTAGTGGAACTAGTCAGGGCAGATTTACACCGAGGGCCCACTACTGCAATCCTGAAAAATTTGTGGGACTTAAAACTTTGACTTAATTTGCATAGCTATATGTTTCAAAGGGACTTGGTTTCAATGAAGACATTCGCAAGTTGCAATTAAAATAATATTATTGGACCATATTACGCTACAACGTCAGGTTATCAAATGAAATCTGACTTTTTAGGTGCAAATAGAATTGCTGTTTATATTTTAGTAAACAAGTGAGATTATTTTATGACTTAAAAAAATCATATATAACTTGCAAGTCCTAAGATTAAACCTAAATATCGATGGATTAACATTTTTGCGTTATGATTAAATAATCTTAACATTATGGTTTTAATTTTACAATGAGTTAGAAATTGCCCCCAATGAACAAAAGTCCTGGCTCTGCTCCAGTTAATTACTAGTACAGGTTTATCACCATTGATCTTTATGCTTTGATTTGTAGCAAAGTCAGTTGGACATTATCACTACAAAAGAGCCTACAAGCAATAAAAATTGCAGTGGATGACATTTGTCTAATTTTTGAAGTGGTGATTTAGTGTTATTCTTTGTCCATTTTATTTTTGTGGCTTACAGTGATGGTTCATAGACTTTTTGTTTGTGGGTTTATAGGTGTAATACATCTCTTCTTATTGATTATTGCCGGAGTGGTGGTGAACACAAATATATATTGATTGATGTTGGAAAGACATTCAGAGAGCAAGTACTCCGATGGTTCACTTTCCATAAGATTCCTCAAGTGGATTCTGTGAGTTCACTTCTCTATGTACTCTTTGATTTCTTTATGTTTTGGTTTTTATAGGACAAAAAACTTCAACTGAAAAAAAATGATGCACAAGAAAGTGGACAAGGTATTCACCCAAAGAAACAAAAATGGGAATATGAGGACAAAAATCTTTGTTTCCATATGTTTTTTTTTTTTGGTCATGTGTTTCCTTATGTTTGATAAATATATTTATGAGTTTTCGAAAAAAACACCATTACTTTTGAATAAATGATTTATTGAGGATTTATTGTTTTCTTTTGTAGTGTTTTCTTGACAGTTCTAATGTACCTTATGCGTGCCAGGGTAGATCCTGTACTTTAAAACTCCACTTTTTATCTGGCTTAATCTCCCATCAGATTTTTCTAATATTGTTTTAATTGTTAGGCAGATTTTATTTATAAGTACAATGATCAAGACCAGGAACTGCCACAGAAACATGCATATCTTCCTTATGGTTATAGCCATGATGAGATTTTTTTTTATGAGGTGCTTATCTTAAGGAAACCATTGGTTGGCAGAATTTTAAAAATTTGGATTTTCAAGCATGAGAACATGGATTTGAGATGTAGACCATCCACTTTATTCAAATAAATTTCACTATACTGAGTTGGTAGCAGTAGCTTTAGGTAGTGTCCCATTCTCTTCTTCAGAAATATTTGGCTCCAGGTCCATTGCAATAGTTTAAAGAGAAAAGTATCTTAGTTGGTGCATTCCTCATAGTGCCTGGGCCATATCCATTAAAGANCTCTTCTTCAGAAATATTTGGCTCCAGGTCCATTGCAATAGTTTAAAGAGAAAAGTTTCTTAGTTGGTGCATTCCTCATAGTGCCTGGGCCATATCCATTAAAAAGGGAGTGGGTTTACATTGTTGCGAAAGTCGCACAGCTTGGCAAAATATCTTGTCACTTGGTTATTATACACACACACATATATATATATGTTCAACTAAGAAATAATTTATTGTTTCTATCAAAATGGAAGGAAATGAATTGGGTTGTTATCTGGATCAGCTGCTATTTTGAACATGGAAGGAAATTATTCTGGGATAAAGCTTTTTGAATTTTTTTTAATTATTCAACACCTGACGTAGGATATAACTATCCCTAATTTTGTGCCTTTTTACTTCTTTTTTATCGTTTTTTCCTTCCCAAGTAGAGAGAGAATGAGTAGAAAGTAATTCGAGTTGTGAAGATTCATTTATCGCTTGGAGGGCCAGAATGATTACTTTTTGAATATAGGCAATTGGACTGCAAAGCATTCTGCCATGAAATACTAAATCATGTGATAATATGGGGCTAGGAGATCATTAAGCTAATGATGTAGTGATCTGGATACTCCCCTTCTATTGATTGCTTCAATATGGAGAACCTTTTAATGTTTGGTCCTTGTTGCGGTTTTGCATTGTGTATCTTTGTGCTTGAATGACATTGATCACTTATTTTGATAGTGAAGGGACAGTATGAGGAATTTATGCTTATGCCAACTGCAGATTGTTTTGACTCATGAACATGCTGATGCGGTTCTTGGCCTAGACGATATACGTGCTGTTCAACCACATAGTCCAACAAATGACATTGATCCAACTCCTATATACCTAACTCAGTATGCGATGGAGAGGTACCTATTGTACTTTTTCTGAGTGGATGTGCAATGTTATTCCATCATTATGGGCCTACTAAATGAAACCAATCTTTTTTCCAATTATTGTGTCGGCTACACGAGTTCTTTTCCGCCGTTTTGCCCCCAACTTGGTTTAAGAATGTGCAACATGTGTGAAATAATTCGTAGAAGGCATTTATATTACTGCAAATTATGTTCTTAAAATGCTGAGGTGTGAAGCATGATTCTGCATGTCTATCGCTGATTTACTTTCATAGAGTTCTGAAGTACAGAACGTGATATAAGCACATGTGGTTCGTGAAGTCGGGAAAAAAAAAGTGAAAAGGTGAGGCATAAGTTTCTTACTTCATCATATTTCTCTATAAAAAAGGGAAAGATGCTTCAAGTAGCCTGTGTTACAAGAAGACTGCTTGTTACTTGACTCGTGCAGTGATTGTTATACTTTCACTACACAAAACCCTACACGGGTCCTATAAGAGCTTGTCCCACTAATACATCATCATAAACTTCTAATCGTAATGGTCAAGTTGTTTTGACTTGGATGCTTTAACATAGTATCAGTGCAAGGTTATTGGTGATTTTGGACTGAACTCTTTATTTCAATGCCATTGATTTTGTATTTGGTTCCCCTTTGTTTGTTCCATAAGTGCACTTTGTTCTGTCTCTCTGATGACATCTTCAACTTCTTCTGTTTAACTTTCCATGTGCGACTAGTGGTCGCAATTGTGGTCATTAAACTAATAATTTCAAAATTGGTACATGAGCCTCATAGGCTTTTCCACTCATTGTCAATTAGTTTTGTGTTGGATTCTTTAACATGTCTTGTATTTGTTTAATTTTGCTAGTAGGATTTGTAATTGCTCGTGTATGTCATGGGGCCTAATCTCATGTTTAATAGACATGGGAGTAAAGATCAAAATTTCGTTTCAGTGCATTGTTTCAGACATCTAGGAAACGAAAACGGTTCGACATGTTTCGGAAATGTTTCGAACCGTTTCAAAAACAGAATGAAAAAAATAAAAAAATTTAAAANAACGGTTCGACATGTTTCGGAAATGTTTCGAACCGTTTCAAAAACAGAATGAAAAATATTAAAAAATGTAAGAATTATTTTTTCAAAACATTGGTTGAAATATACCAAAACATTACGAAATAATTGTGAAAATGTATTGAAATATAACAAAATATTTCGAAACATTATGGAATGCCCTGAAGTATTAAAATTTTGATTTTATCATTGATTTGTTTCGGTCTCCTTGGAAACAAAAATGTTTCGGATATTTTGACCATTTTGAAATGATATTTTGATCCTTGCATGGGAGCAATATAGTCTTCAAACCGATTAATAAATTATGTTAAGAGGAATTTATTGTATGTTGGGCTTTCCATGGTCGAAAAGCTAACAGTATCTAGGGAAGGTGATATTAAGGTAGATGGTATGCATGGGGCTACCGTATCACCTGATACTGGCTTTCACATATAGGCGTTCCACATATAGCTATTGACCTATCCTTGTAGGTTAGCTCTATTTAATTTAAATGTGGTGGTTCAATTTTTTATGACATCAACCTCAAGAATGTTTTAAGTAAAATACAAACAAATACAATTGTGAGTAAACGATGAGATTTTTTAGTTTTTTAGTTTTTGCCTTTTTAATTGACTTGTGAAATTCAGCATGAGCTCAAGGGACATGAAGCAAGAAGTAACAAGAGTCAATGTAATGATCCAATAGATAATATTTAGTTAGATAGAATAATTTCACATTCTTTATGAGCACATACTAAGGTCTTGATCTAGTTATATGGTGGAATTGGATGTGCCATGTGGGAGGAGGTTTTATGAGGTGATGTTGGGTGAGATTTTTATTTAGTCAGCCAAAATCACAGGGCCATCTGGCGGAGCCCCAACACAGCACAATTTTTATGCTATATTCAATAGATTCCTTTCAGCATAAATTAAATANGACTTGTGAAATTCAGCATGAGCTCAAGGGACATGAAGCAAGAAGTAACAAGAGTCAATGTAATGATCCAATAGATAATATTTAGTTAGATAGAATAATTTCACATTCTTTATGAGCACATACTAAGGTCTTGATCTATTTATATGGTGGAATTGGATGTGCCATGTGGGAGGAGGTTTTATGAGGTGATGTTGCGTGAGATTTTTATTTAGTCAGCCAAAATCACAGGGCCATCCGGCGGAGCCCCAACACAGCACAATTTTTATGCTATATTCAATAGATTCCTTTCAGCATAAATTAAAAAAAGGCCCTTGATGTTGCAAATTTTAATTAATGCAGATTACAAAATAGTGTAATTTTGGTGCTATATCAAACCTTAAAAATAGTAGGGGGAACTGAGGAGTGACATGCATCTCTCTTCTTAGAACTTCGATTTTGGAAATGAGATATGGATTATTGTTGACATTTGATGCTTCAATTTATATACTTTTAGTTTTAGTTGCACTCTTTGGTTGGTGCTTCAATGTATATACTTTCATTTGTTAGTTGCACTCTTTGGTTGATGCTGGGGCTTCTTGTTCCTTTGAAACAGCATTTCAGTGAAATTTCCTTATTTGCTTCGGAAAAAATTGAAGGAAGGCCAGGAAGTGAGACGTGTAGCACAGCTTGACTGGAAGATAATTGAGAATGACTGTGAGAAGCCATTTGTTGCATCAGGGCTAAAACTTATTCCTTTGCCAGTAAGTGTCTTCTTACACATCCTTCCATTATAATGTAATTTTTTACTGTGTACATATTCCATATTGTACCCTTATATTCTGATGTAGGTGATGCATGGTGAAGATTATACATGCTTGGGTTTTCTGTTTGGTGAAACATATCGAGTAGCTTATATATCTGATGTTTCACGCTTTCTTCCAACCACAGAGCGCTGTCAGTTTAGCTTCATTCCTCTCTCTCTCTTTTAATTTGTTGTAGCACAATGTACCATTTCCTGCATATGCTTATTGTGAATTACATGCTGAACAAACACCGGCGTGGGTTTACTTGAGATTCAAACTTGACGTAATAGGGTTTTTTTTATTGAATATATATGCAAATGTATTATTTGGAATTCTAAAAGATAAAGTTGTCAGAACTATAAAATTGACTTGATTTGTGGTTATTGAAATATGGTTTATGCAATCAAATACTATTGGTCCTGCCAAAAGTCATGTGCACTTTTTCTGACATGTGAAATGTTAAAGTGGAATTGACATTGTTAGAGCATCCATTCGACCCAAAACCAGTTGGCAATGGGCAGTGCCCCTCAATCAAATAAACCAACCTTTGGTTTACTTATTTTTTTGTTGTGGAATATCACTCTACACACTCCCTCACATGCGAACTGGACTTGTGCATGAGCTGACTAATGGAATTAAAATAGACAGACAAACAAACTAGAGTTAAACCAAGTAGACAGATAATCAGAATGGGGAATTCAACTGGATGAGAGACTTAACCCACAAGACCCAGCTCTGATATTAACCCAAAATCAATAGACAATGGGTAGAGTGGCCCATCAAATACATAAATTAACCTTGGATCTACTTAATTTTTCGGTGGAATATCTCTTTTCATAGACATGATTAAGGAATGTGGTTGTTTTTTTTTTTTTTTGATCAAAATTAAGGAATGTGGTTCAAGATCTTCCTTTAATTTGTGTTGATTATTACCCCTTAGTGCCTGTTGTTTGTGGATGCAATTGATACATGAGAATAGCTATGTCCCATTTCTAAACTTACAGTGTTCCATCCTGGAACTCTGTAAGCCAAAAATANGTGGTTTTTTTTTTTTTTTTTTTTGATCAAAATTAAGGAATGTGGTTCAAGATCTTCTTTTAATTTGTGTTGATTATTACCCCTTAGTGCCTGTTGTTTGTGGATGCAATTGGTACATGAGCATAGCTATGTCCCATTTCTAAACTTACGGTGTTCCATCCTGGAACTCTGTAAGCCAAAAATATTGCTTAATTTATTAATAAACAATGATATTGTCTATGTTAAGCATTCCTATTCTTGGACTTTTTGATAAAGGACTACAGCTGGATTGTGCACCTATCTCACTTTATACAAACATCATCATCAAAAACCAGGGAGAATTTGGTGATACTGAAATTCGAGTAAGAAAGCAGGAGTCAGGGATCCTTCAGAGAATGTCGATTCTGACAAACATGCCTTCGTAGTTCATGGATTTTCCTAACTTATCTCTAAGAAGCAAACTTCTCTCCATTCCTCCCACGCCCCATAAATTAGAAGATTTAAAGAAGAAAAAGTAGTAGTACATTGTACTTCACAGCCCTTGATATCGCATGTCATGTGTTTCATGGTTGAGGGGGCTTCATGCTCAAGATCTAGATATTTCAACTAATTAATTTCCGGCTATCTGCCCCGTTTTGTGATAAATCTGTAATATGGCTGAATGTTGGGTTAAGGAAGTTTTTGGTTCTACAGATATTTCAAAAAGTGATGACCAACAGCTGGATCTCCTTATCTTGGACACACTTTATAAGGTCAGTCGGGATACAAACAATATTTTTGGTACTTTTAAATCACCTCATGTGGACTATTTTTCATGTTATTACTTCCATGAATTTTTGTATGAATAGGAAAATATACCTATGTAGGGATAGTGTTGTCATTACATATGAGATGGATAATGTTGTATTAATAGAATTGTTCAAGGATTTTGGAACATTTCATTGAAAAAGCTATAACATGTTCTTTATATAATTTTCTAAGATCAATATACTAATTTAAAGGTTCTCAAATATATTGAAAACTATTGTAATAAATAAATACTTAAATTACACACTCTCTAATAACTTATGCTTTTGGAATTAATGGTGGTTTAACCTCGTATTAGAGTAAGAGGTGCTACGTTCAAATCTTGTTGCCACCCTGATGATTAAAAGACTTCCACGTGCTTAACCCAAAATATAGCTCACACCTGCACATGTTGAAGTATATAAATATTAAGTTACACCCTCTTTAATAGTTTAAGTTTTTAGATTAGATGGTGATTTAACAACTATTATATATAACATAGATATTGTTAATGTTGGAACGTAATTTGAAGATTTAAAAATGAAAGGACCTGATGGTGATTTAGATGCTTGAATATAGCAGGACATGCTGGCCTTTATAACTCTCTACACGAGTAGAATAGTGAATTAAAAGTTTCTTCATGTTAATGTACTTTTATAAGTAGCATAGATTTAACTTCCTTTTTTTGCCATTGTGCTTCATCTAAGATCATATATTTTGTAGAGATATTAGGCTAAGATATTTGGTTCACTTCTTCAAGTGATGTTCGCTGAGATCTTAACCTCATCTTTTCAGAACCTTTTATTTGTTCCGTAACGTGCTACTATTGACCACTGCTTCCTTTGCCATCTATTCTGGCGTGTAAATAATTTCCCTTTCATGGGTTTTCCCACAAACTTTTTCTTTTTTAGAAACTGTCCACTTTTTATGTTGCTTTGTTGTTGTGTTTTTGTTACTTCATGAAAATCTCTTATTTGTTTTATCTTTTTTCTTCCAATTGCTACAGAATGGCTCCCATAATACTCACTTTTGCTTCCCCCAGGTTTGTTCCACTTTCTCCAAAGTTTTTAGAATTTTGAACTTTCACATGAGTTTGTTATCTCTGGGCAAATGCTGCTTGTGTTACGATTACAAAGTGTTGTCCTCAGACTCTCGAAGCTGTGAAGAGGCTATGCCCAAAGCAGGCTTTGTTAATTGGAATGACCCATGAGTTTGATCATCACAGGGACAATGAATTTCTTATGGAATGGTCTAGAAGGTATAATAACATTTTAAACTTTTTTCACTTATTTGATCCCAATCTCAGTGCCGTAAATGCAGTTTAACTCATGTCTAAGTAAGATTATGTGACATTGTGACTCAATTGTTGATAAATATGCCTATATATCAAATTTTAGCTTTTTCTGTATAATGTACATGGGCCTTGCCTGATGATAGTTGTGTGGTTAAAAGACAATATGGAGACGTGTCCTATTTTTCGAAGCACTTGCTAGTTTTGAAAGTTTTTATAACCAAAAAAAAAAATTTTGATCTTAAAAGCTTCACCATTTTCTACTTTCAGAGAAGGAATCCCAGTTCAGCTTGCGCATGATGGCTTAAGAATCCCCATCGACCTATAATGAGGTAAGGTTCGACATAGCTAGATATCCTGTACTACGATGAAACATATTTTGCAATTTTGAAGCGAAAAATGTTTATGAATATCTTTCTTAATGTTGTGTCCGCAGGTTAATTTGTGAACGATTGACCTATGGACCGAATATACTTCACTATTTGTTCCCATATAAATAGAAGGGAAAACAACACAACATAGTTGGTGATTAAGTACTGTAGTATCAGAAGAGCCGGTTCAAGAGTTAAATCAAAAATGCAAAAGTATAGTGCACAGATGATTAGAAAATTTACAGTGCTTTGCAGTGTGAACCATTCATCTTAATTAATCAACACAGTATTTATCATTACCCTTAAGGGGTTACCTTACGTTTTGTAGAACTGCTACAGTCATGGATTTACATAGAATGTTTTATAAGTAGATGAAATCAGTTTCACTTTTTGCTTTTACATTGTTTTCTCTTCCCTTTCTGTTCTTTCCTTTTTTGCTTTCTTGTTCTAATACCAGTAGCATTGAGTATGGACATTTACTTGGGAATTTCATGAGCTTCCTCTGTGTATGATCTTAATTTTAAACAAATACTCCCCGACTCCATTGCCTGACAAAACTAAAGTTGTAAGAACAATAATCAATTTTAGCCCGAATGGTTTGTAGGGAGAGAGAGAGAGAGAGAGAGAGTAAATTTCATTTCCTTTCCATTTTCCTTGATTGCTTATGAATGCAAATTTCCATTGTCAACTTTAGCAGGGGATGGATTGCATCTAAGCTTACAATATCAGATTAGAACAAATTAATTAAATAGATGGAGAATTGTAAACAAAGATGAACCAGATCCTTGTGAATAAATTCTGCTCTCTCTCTCTCTCTCCTCGTTTGGTTGGAGGGGAAGGTGGAGTGGGGTGGGGAAGGGACTTAACATTTTAGTATGTTTTTTTTTGGGCGTGGGTGGGGGTGGATTGAAGAGGGAACCTGCAACCAAATAACAAGTACACAAACCCTCTTGTCTGCAGATGTGGTTAAGACGCTGAACTCTTTGAGTCTCCTTACAAAGCACCTACAAATTCGATTATGATATAAAAAATTATTTTTCAATATAATGTCTTTTTTTTTCTTTATCTTTTTCTTTCTTTAATGAAAACGTGAAATGAGTAAAAAAAATTATTATTTCACTTCGATATATTTTCACGATCAATGACTAGATATGCAATTATGTATCGAACTATATTTTCTCCATTAATTAGTTTTGATACAGTTCCGAAATTGAATCAACACCCACAATTAGTGCCTAAAGTGCATCAAACCAAGACTGATGTCTAGCAGCACCTTAAAAAAAGATTGATGTCTACTAGTTCAGTTCCGATATGCTATCGTAATTGGAGCAGCATCTACAATCACAGCACCATAGCCTTATATCTATCACATACAGTACATATTGATCGTAGCCTTGTAGTTGCTTTCCACAAACAAGCTCTTCAGCCACTTTACCTCCCATTCCACTACAATTTGGGTGGTGATGAGGTTGATGATTACCTCCAAGCATTCGGCTCTCAGCCTATAATTAGACTTGTTAATTGATCGGGTTTGTGTTCAGATTTTGACCAATTCAAATTCGAATTTGATTTTACAAGTTCGATCCTATAATTCGATGAATTTTATTTTCATAATTTATATTTGAATCTGTTAACAATCCGAAATTCGATTCAATCTGAATAAATTATTTAACTAAATTTTAACAAATTATACCTAGATTTTAGCTAATTTTTTTTAAATGTTCACTTAATTTTTTAAATATTTATATATAAATATATATAAATAATATAGCTCAGATTACAATCGAATCGGATATAGGTATATATAAATTCAATTCTGTGAAATATAAGATATCAGATTAGAGTTCAGATTATCGATAAAAAAAATATTCACATTTAGTTATTTAGATTCAANCAAAAAAAAAAATTTTGATCTTAAAAGCTTCACCATTTTCTACTTTCAGAGAAGGAATCCCAGTTCAGCTTGCGCATGATGGCTTAAGAATCCCCATCGACCTATAATGAGGTAAGGTTCGACATAGCTAGATATCCTGTACTACGATGAAACATATTTTGCAATTTTGAAGCGAAAAATGTTTATGAATATCTTTCTTAATGTTGTGTCCGCAGGTTAATTTGTGAACGATTGACCTATGGACCGAATATACTTCACTATTTGTTCCCATATAAATAGAAGGGAAAACAACACAACATAGTTGGTGATTAAGTACTGTAGTATCAGAAGAGCCGGTTCAAGAGTTAAATCAAAAATGCAAAAGTATAGTGCACAGATGATTAGAAAATTTACAGTGCTTTGCAGTGTGAACCATTCATCTTAATTAATCAACACAGTATTTATCATTACCCTTAAGGGGTTACCTTACGTTTTGTAGAACTGCTACAGTCATGGATTTACATAGAATGTTTTAGAAGTAGATGAAATCAGTTTCACTTTTTGCTTTTACATTGTTTTCTCTTCCCTTTCTGTTCTTTCCTTTTTTGCTTTCTTGTTCTAATACCAGTAGCATTGAGTATGGACATTTACTTGGGAATTTCATGAGCTTCCTCTGTGTATGATCTTAATTTTAAACAAATACTCCCCGACTCCATTGCCTGACAAAACTAAAGTTGTAAGAACAATAATCAATTTTAGCCCGAATGGTTTGTAGGGAGAGAGAGAGAGAGAGAGAGAGTAAATTTCATTTCCTTTCCATTTTCCTTGATTGCTTATGAATGCAAATTTCCATTGTCAACTTTAGCAGGGGATGGATTGCATCTAAGCTTACAATATCAGATTAGAACAAATTAATTAAATAGATGGAGAATTGTAAACAAAGATGAACCAGATCCTTGTGAATAAATTCTGCTCTCTCTCTCTCTCTCCTCGTTTGGTTGGAGGGGAAGGTGGAGTGGGGTGGGGAAGGGACTTAACATTTTAGTATGTTTTTTTTTGGGCGTGGGTGGGGGTGGATTGAAGAGGGAACCTGCAACCAAATAACAAGTACACAAACCCTCTTGTCTGCAGATGTGGTTAAGACGCTGAACTCTTTGAGTCTCCTTACAAAGCACCTACAAATTCGATTATGATATAAAAAATTATTTTTCAATATAATGTCTTTTTTTTTCTTTATCTTTTTCTTTCTTTAATGAAAACGTGAAATGAGTAAAAAAAATTATTATTTCACTTCGATATATTTTCACGATCAATGACTAGATATGCAATTATGTATCGAACTATATTTTCTCCATTAATTAGTTTTGATACAGTTCCGAAATTGAATCAACACCCACAATTAGTGCCTAAAGTGCATCAAACCAAGACTGATGTCTAGCAGCACCTTAAAAAAAGATTGATGTCTACTAGTTCAGTTCCGATATGCTATCGTAATTGGAGCAGCATCTACAATCACAGCACCATAGCCTTATATCTATCACATACAGTACATATTGATCGTAGCCTTGTAGTTGCTTTCCACAAACAAGCTCTTCAGCCACTTTACCTCCCATTCCACTACAATTTGGGTGGTGATGAGGTTGATGATTACCTCCAAGCATTCGGCTCTCAGCCTATAATTAGACTTGTTAATTGATCGGGTTTGTGTTCAGATTTTGACCAATTCAAATTCGAATTTGATTTTACAAGTTCGATCCTATAATTCGATGAATTTTATTTTCATAATTTATATTTGAATCTGTTAACAATCCGAAATTCGATTCAATCTGAATAAATTATTTAACTAAATTTTAACAAATTATACCTAGATTTTAGCTAATTTTTTTTAAATGTTCACTTAATTTTTTAAATATTTATATATAAATATATATAAATAATATAGCTCAGATTACAATCGAATCGGATATAGGTATATATAAATTCAATTCTGTGAAATATAAGATATCAGATTAGAGTTCAGATTATCGATAAAAAAAATATTCACATTTAGTTATTTAGATTCAAATTTGAATCCAATACATTGATAGACATACTTGCAACACCGGTACAATTGCACTTTAAAAGATGGGGTGGTTTTTTTTTTTTTTTTTT